CCCTCCCACCAAAGAGCGATTTTTGGAGCCCCGTGTGCCTGAGCGGTGCTGTGTCTGGATGCAGCTTGAATAGGAACTTCAGGCAGCATAAGGAGGACTAGCTCCCTTTTCAGTTCACCGTAGCACACCTTTTCAGTGGCTGTAGAGCAGACATGGTTTACTTCAAAAACTTCTGGTGACATACGTGTGTGTGCGTGTGTGTGTATATATACACGCCCATATAGATACACGCACACATATATATATGGGTACACACACACACATATATATATGGGTACTTGGAATACACCTTCCTAGAAGAGAAACATGTATAGTGCATCCTAGTGCATGGAAACCTGATTTCCTGTGCTTTGCAAAATCTGATGTAGGGAAGGAATCTCGACTTCTGTTCTGGGACACTGCTTGGTTGTTGTCACTTCGTACTTCCACTCCTTGTTTTTTGGAAGAAGGGCTACTTGAACACAAAAAATGTGAAACTCGTTATACCAACTTACATTACAATAAGACTTGAATCACTTTGGTTCAAACATAAACAGGAATTTTCAGATATATGTAAAATGTCACAATGTGATATTCTTACAGATCTAGATCATTTTTAGGGGTTTAAGGCTTATAATTTTAAAATATTATTCATTACTTCAGTAGCAACCAGAAGCTGTGTCCTGACGTGGTAAATATTTTTCAGAGATATGTCTGAAACAGTCCTTGCCACAGAGGTCTTACAGTAGAATGTAATTAGGGTTCCCTATTCTGTAATGTGCTATATTAATTAGCAGTCAAAATCCAATTTTTAAAGCCCAGCTTAGAAACATATTTGCCCTTTAGGCCACATATCTTACCATCACAGCTTGAAGCAGCCTGTTTCAGTGAATTGATCATAAAATAAACTAAATAAAATACATGTCTGCATGTATATTCCAACTAGAAGGAGTGAGGGGACCGCTTGCCTTCCCCTTTTTGAAAACTTAGTGTTTTATTTTCAAAGCTGAATGTCCAGGCTCTACAGTTTCTCTGTGTTGTTAAATGAGGTAATGAAATAAACCTTTGCAGGGCAGGCTGAACTTGCACAGAGAACAGGGATGTGTTTTCTCCCAGTTCCAATGAGCGAAATAAAAGTGTGACTTCTGGTGGGATCAAAATCTGTGCCCAACTGTGCCCTACCTCGCTGGGGTAGCCTGCTCAGCCGCTGGGATCATTGGTGGTACGGCAGATAAGGAAATCTTCTGAACAGTTTATTGTTTATTCTCAGTCAGTTTTTGTTCTGTGGAAATGGATTGTTCCTCCAGGCAATTTTAGGTTTTGACTGCTGGTCGTCGTTCTCCCTCCTCCCCTCCTCTCCCTTTCTGGAATGAAAGAGGGAAGGCTTGAATGCACATTGAACAGTGGTCCTAAATCTGGCTTCCCCATGAGCACTGCTCGGAAATTTACATTTTCGTGCTGGTGGAGGGATACATGTGAATCTCAATGATCTTTCAAAATTTTTCTTTAAATAAAAGCAAAGCTGTTGCTTACCATTCATCCTATTGTACAGGGGCACAGGACAGCCAAAGTGTAATACTTTATAAAAGAAGAACCTTGCACAGAGCGTCCATTTTCATTGAAACAGTATATATTTTGCATTCTGTCTGTCATTTTTTTTCAGGCCTCTTCTTTCCCTCTCTTCTTCCCTGTTCTGCAATTTGACAAAACCATTTTTTCAAAGTATAAATACAAGAAGTCTGTATGGCATGGTCAATTGTATCTTTTAGCTGAAGTATAGAAATTAATATAATCTTAAAAGGAGATTGCTTTTAATAAATGAAGATGAGAAAGAATAAAAGTATGAATTTGTTGAAGATGTTCTGGGAAGATTTTAATAATACACTATTATTAAACTATTATTTAACTATTATTTAACACTGTATACTTTAACTTACAATAGTTAACTATTATTTAACTCACAGGACCCTTTAAGTGATGTAAGTTTTGTGTGTGCAACTTCTCCACAGAAAGAGAGGAAAGTCTTGACACAGATTATCTGAATAGTTTTTAAACTGTTGCTTTTTTAAGAGTAAAAATAAAGTACTCATAGCCCCATTCCTTAAGGCAGAAATCCACCCTCTTGTGTGTGTGTCTGTATGTCTGAAAAAAGGGACGAAATGCTTTAATGTTGTACTGGCTTGGCCTTGGAAAACATCAGGTGGCAGGTTTTATTGTACCAGTCTGTGCTAAATACGGAAACTTTCAGTAATTAGCATATGTGTTTTGTATCTGTGCTTTGACCAAAATCACCCTCTCTGTCCCGGAAGGGTGTCTGAGGCTGCTGGTTGGGGTTGTGGGGTGGGAGAGCATCGTCCTTGGGCACCCCGAGGTGGTGAGGGGTGGTGGCTGCCTGTCCACCCCCAGGGCAGCGAGCTGAGCCACCACTGTGTCCTTGGGAGAAGAGCTTCTTCAAATCTGCCGTCCCAGACCTGTCGCCTGCATGACTCTGAGTGAAAACAAAGGTTATGGGTGCTACAGACCAGGGAGAGCATGGTACAAAGGAGTCTTCAGCACGCTGATGGGTATTGCTGCTGGAGGATGAGCAAAGGGCAGCAGCACGGCTGGTGGGAGGTGGAGTGGCCAGTAAGCCAGCTCGGAGGAACCCGCAGCCACCCAGAGACTGAAGTGCCTGTTGGACAAGATAATTCATCCAAATAAGCAAACTAAATCAGGGGGAGGGGAGGTATTTGTCAGCTCAAACAGACTTAGTGATTTACTTCATGATTTAGTGCCAAACAAAATGCTGTGGTCAGCAAGAAAAATCCTTGCAGATTTTTCTGTCTCTAAAGCAAGATTTCAAGTAGGTTGTAGAAGCATATTTCTCCTACATATTTCAGTCTGAAGAATTTATTGTGAGCAAAAACAAAGCCTTATGCAATCTGTTGTGAATTAGACTTAAAATCTATTAAACAGATTTAATAAAGAGAGATTTTGTTGAAATATTTCATTCAGCATTAAAGCTCTTGTATTTATCTTCTGGTTTGAGCAGGTTTAGTTTCAAGCACTAGGAATATTTGAATCATTCTATCATGGTTTTCCCCTGTGAAGCGGGGGATTTTGACAGTGAAGAAGAGAAACTTAGTTGGTTTGTCCTCAGGAAGGACATGCCTGATGATTAACAGGAGTTAATTCGCTGGTAATTTTGATCTGTAGCCTGTCAACCATTCTGCATGTGCATTTCTGCAGTGCACTCACAGTACTGATTGCCAGGGCAGAGTTTTGAATTACAAATATCTTTTTCTTTATGAATGAATTTCCTTAACAGGCTTCCAAGTAATAAATAATGCACTCAAATATGTCAGTGCATTTCTTTACTTTTAATGACTAGACACCAAAAGGCCTAATTTTCCCTTGGGCATACCCACGATGCACTTCCACTGAAGGGAGCTGACACGATGCTGTCCCTTCTGTCCTCTCTGCTGGGAGCCAAGAGTGTGGGAGAAGCGGTCTCCAGGGGTGTGGGTACGGTACCACCTCTCATTCTGGTGATTGCTTCTTATCCTGAACAATGCCTGGGTGAAGGATCCGTTGGATACTTGTATTTGAGCTCTGGCTGTGCCAGTTGCTATGCGTACCATGAGTTAGGTACGACACATCACTCAAATTGCTTTACAAATAGGCCGGTCAATTCATTATTAATGTCTCTGTGATGGTCGTTATCATTGTTGGCATTAGTGAGTGTTGAAAATAGAAATATTTCAAAATGCGGTTCAGGTTAGAGCAGATAGTATTAGCCCCAGTTTTTGGATGAAGGACAGCAGCAAGCAGGTATTATGCTCTAAAGCACCCGTTGTATGTTTGAGTGACGTACCTTGTATCCAGATACTGCATGACACACTTCAGCTGAAATTATTGACTTTTTCAGTAAATAAAGGGTTAGATATGACATTATAGATGGTATAATTTTAATTTCTAGTCATCTGCCTTTTATTGGAAATTAACAGTACAAGCAAAATCAATTGGATAAATTTTTACTGTTTTTTTTAACTTTGTAAATCTTGATGTTGTTGTGATTTCTGTTAATAACACATGAAGATGCTTCAGATTTGGATTGTGGGAACAGGATGGGACACTTTGCATTAAAAAGTTTGCAAACACACAGGATTAATCTGCGCACAAATTGTAATGGTTGCTGTAAAACTATAGGTAAGGCAAACACCTCCGTTGACATGAATCCTCCCTTAATGATGAAAAAGATGCTGTGGTGGTACAGCTGTCTTTGCACAGTGAGAGAATTACACAGTGTTGGCATGCAGAATTTTTAAACAGCTGTAACTGCATCCCTATTCTTTTAGCTTATTGCCTTTTATTTCCTTTTTGATTTTTTCTTGTTTCTTCTGCCAGTCCAAAGGCTGTGTGTGAGAAGGTTATGGTGTGACAGCTGATAATTTAGTGTGTCGTCCTGATTTATTGCACATTACCAAACCCTGTTTTGAAATGGAGTTACTTAGCTTACAGTCTTAGTTGCTGTGGTTATGCATAAAGTCATTTTGGCATGCAGCAGTCAGAAAGCAGTGCTGAAGACACAGACTTTGCGAATTTACAAGGAGGAAAAGTATATTTTATGCTGTGAGTTAACTTCTTGTTCCATGTGCTCCCACTCTGGCAACATCTGGACTTGAGCTGGGCATTCCCACGAGTGCAGGCAGAGATAATTCAAATGGCTGGGATCGGAAGCTTTGGAGTTGCTGCCTCTGAAGAAATTAAATCCTTGCCTGAATTTAAACCCTGGCGGGCAGGACAAGAGGGTGGTGTCAAATAAAGTCCACCCGATAGTTGGACATGTGCTGATTTTAAGGTGAATCAGGTTTGGTGCCAGGCAGGTTGATAGCTTTCCTTTAGTGAAGATAGAACTAGTTTCTCCACTTTGGTACATTCGAAGTCTGTTATCAATTTCGGTAAGTGCAGTAATCATAATGTTGAATATATTATAGAAAAATATTCATATAAATTAAGTATAATTTATTTCTGTTTTTCAGGAGAAGAGGATGTGGACTGGTCCATCTGTAATAAAGACTTAGAGGTAACACAGACAACCAAATTGTTCTATAATCCTTTATTTTTATGTTTATTAACAAGCAGAGCAAGATAAATGGGATTGAAAAATCCATCTGTAGTTTTTGTGTGGAATCCTTAGCAGTGTCCTCCCGAAGGCAGGCAAAGCCTGAGCTCTCGTGCAGTAGGAAGAGGTTCACTTGTTCGGGCAGGCACACAAGCAGAGTGGGCAGAGGATGCTGGGAATCAGAGCGCCTCCACAGACTCTGGGCAGAGGAGCTCAGCTCTTCCTTCCCAGTCTCTTCAGAGACTAGTAATTGTTTTGTGGCAACTAAATTGCATTCCCACAGAAGGCACTACACGCCGTCTGTGTTTGGTTAGCCTTCCTGCACTCCCAGAGGTTGAACTCATCTTGGGAGTTGGTACGGTTAGGTTGTAACCTGGTGTAGTCATGCAAGGTACCGTAGCATCCCGGAAGAATAAGCTTCAGCTATAAGGTCCAACTCCTTCTGATTTCTCTTTCCAAGGTTCAGCAATGCTTACATAATTAGGTGACATT